CAATCTGTATGTATGTCATTAACCGACACATGTGTAATCTGTATGTACATCATCAACCGACACATGTGTAATCTGTATGTACATCATCAACTGACACATGTGTAATCTGTATGTACATCATCAACCGACACATGTGTGATCTGTATGAACATCGATCATCAACTGACACATGTGTAATCTGTATGTACATCATCAACTGACACATGTGTAATCTGTAAGTACGTCATCAACCAACACATGTGCAATCTGCATGTATGTCATTAACCGACACATGTGTAATCTGTATGTACATCATCAACTGACACATGTGTAATCTGTATGTACATCATCAACTGACACATGTGTAATCTGTATGTACGTCATCAACCGACACATGTGTAATCTGTATGTACATCATCAACTGACACATGTGTAATCTGTATGTATGTCATTAACTGACACATGTGTAATCTGTATGTACATCATCAACTGACACATGTGTAATCTGTATGTATGTCATTAACCGACACATGTGTAATCTGTATGTACATCATCAACCGACACGTGTAATCTGTATGTACATCATCAACCGACACATGTGTAATCTGTATGTACATCGATCATCAACCGACACATGTGTAATCTGTATGTACATCATCAACTGACACATGTGTAATCTGTATGTACATCATCAACTGACACATGTGTAATCTGTAAGTACGTCATTAACCGACACATGTGTAATCTGTATGTATGTCATTAACCGACACATGTGCAATCTGTATGTATGTCATTAACCGACACATGTGTAATCTGTATGTACATCATCAACCGACACATGTGTAATCTGTATGTACATCATCAACTGACACATGTGTAATCTGTATGTACATCATCAACCGACATGTGTAATCTGTATGTACATCATCAACTGACACATGTGTAATCTGTATGTACATCAACTGACACATGTGTAATCTGTAAGTACATCATCAACTGACATGTGTAATCTGTATGTATGTCATTAACCGACACATGTGTAATCTGTAAGTATGTCATCAACCGACACATGTGTAATCTGTATGTATGTCATCAACCGACACATGTGTGATTTGTACGTAAGTCATCAACTGACACATGTGTAATCTGTATGTACAAAATCAACTGACACATGTGTAATCTGTAAGTACATCATCAACTGACATGTGTAATCTGTATGTATGTCATTAACCGACACATGTGTAATCTGTAAGTATGTCATCAACCGACACATGTGTAATCTGTATGTATGTCATCAACCGACACAGGTGTGATTTGTACGTAAGTCATCAACTGACACATGTGTAATCTGTATGTACAAAATCAACTGACACATGTGTACTCTGTAAGTACATCATCAACTGACACATGTGTAATCTGTATGTACATCATCAACCGACACATGTGTGATCTGTAAGTATGTCATCAACCGACACATGTGTAATCTGTATGTACATCATCAACTGACACATGTGTAATCTGTATGTAAGTCATCAACTGACACATGTGTAATCTGTATGTACAAAATCAACTGACACATGTGTACTCTGTATGTACATCATCAACTGACACATGTACAATCTGTAAGTACATCATCAACCGACACATGTACAATCTGTAAGTACATCATCAACCGACACATGTACAATCTGTAAGTACATCATCAACCGACACATGTACAATCTGTATGTACATCATCAACCGACACATGTGTAATCTGTACGTAAGTCATCAACCGACACATGTACAATCTGTATGTACACCAACTGACACACATAATCTGTACACAAGTCTTTAACTGACACATGGAATGTACTTCATCAACTTACCTTTATCTCACCATCGCTGTGTTCTTCTATTTGTTTGAAAGCACTCAGGACAGCTCTTCCATCTTGATCACTACTGGTGATGGTAATAATTCGCTCCCATCCATATATATCTAGCAGGTCAGCCCAAACTTTAGCGTGATGTGCATATGGTGGTACAGTACGCAGGAAAGACATGTGAATATTCTGAAACCAAAATCACTAACAAATTTAACTAATCTGTTTCATTTAAATCGTTCACCTAAATAAAAAAAAAATCATTTAATTGTGGCGAGAATGTAGTGAGAGGATGGGTTTTAATCCGATTTATATATTTTGTTTCTTTTGTTTCAAGCCTTTTGTTTTAAATCTTATTGCTATTGTCTATTTTTCCATTCAACCAATCATGGCTTCCACTTATTTACTCAACAAAACGGGTTAGAAATTCTCGACCGCAACTTGCAACTTGTGAAATAGGATGGTGAGACCATGGTAGGATCATGGAAACTTGATACGAGGATCAAGTAAGCATTACTTTACAAGGATCTGTGATTTGGTCATGTTAAGTGATTTTGGTGTTAATTTATTTCCATAAAACACTGACTGCTTCCAACCTGGCCTGAATGTTAATTATTTATGTAATCATGCACATTATGGGAATGTTTATGTAAGTATAAATAAATCTAAGCGATCATAGAACATGGGAGAACAATACCTTCCATGGTAAGGGTCAGGTACTAGTATCACATCTCTGAAATACATTTGATGTAAAGTATTTTTATTTAAAATGTGTTACTCTATTTTCTTAGGATTCAAGTAATAATTATAATATTTTACATTGAATTGTTATGGGATTTGTTATTTGCTTTTTATCCTGAAACAAGCAGCCTCTCGGCTTTCAGCTGATAGAAATGTACATTTTAATTAGAGAATTGAACATATCCTCACAAAATGAACAAATCTGAAAGAAGTCGACCTGTAATACCTATATGTATAATATCAAAGCAATCAGACTTGAGTTTTTTAACAAGAAGTCGAAAATACCACTTTTTACTAAAAATGACAGAAATATTTATCTAAATTAGAGAATTGAGACATCATCATGAAATGAACAAATCTGAGAGAGGTTATGCTGGGGTACCTATTTCTATAAAGCATGTACACCAAGTATCAAATCAATCAGGCTTGTAGTTTTCAAGAAAAAGTTGAAAAGGTAAACAGCGGACAATCACTCATATGATAAGCTCGGTAGTTAACAGCGAAGCTAAAAAAAGGAATTTTGTCAGTATGTGTTGCACATGTATAAATGTTTATACAGTCATGAAGATTACAGAACAATATGACCTTTAAATCATGGGTTCAATTCACCTGGGTATTTAGGAGGCAAATTTAATTGGGAAATGAGCATTAAACATGCGTGTACTTGGTTCCCTATACAGGTATGTAATCCCCTCCTCCCACAATGAAAAAAATATAATATAATTATCAACCGATATACAAATGTATCAAGTATCGACATGATCTACAATCAGATGCTACAAAAGTGAATTAAAATAAACATTGTAAGTACAATGTGACATGCATTGTATTGCCTCCATCAATATTGGAATATTGTAGAAATAAACCGATACTGTACCATATGGTACGTCCAACACAATGAATCACCCTTAAACTAATAATGAAATTTATAATGATTGAATATTCCTTTGTTGCCTTTTTTTCTACCAATCAAAATGCTCGGTTCAATGAACAATCATTATGTGAAGACATACTGAAATGGAAAATAATGTAATACCTAGAGTTGATCTAAAAATTATTCTACAATGATAATCAATAATGATATCTACCAGGAGGGGGGGGGGGGGTTGTATCATAATTTATTCAACAGATTGTCTACTAACCTTATCAGAAAATATAGATTCTTGGCAGCTTATTCCAATGACAGGAATACGATAGAATCCACATGTGTATGATATTGAGACAGGTGATAAATCAGAATTTGGAGGATGAGATGCAATCACTGCATATACCTGCTGGGAGACTAGATCCCGACAAACAGATAATGCCAACTGAATAGGATTGGCATTCATCACCAGGAAGGTTCCGTTAAGTTTCCTTATTCCTGGCATTCGTTCTGTATTCACATCTTCAATAATTTTCAGGAATTCCTCTTCATGCTGTGCCGAGCTCAACATGGCTCCGATATTGATGATCTGTGTATTATTATCCAGCCCGTGCATGTGGTGGAAGTTGTGAAAGAAAATCACGAGGAATACCCATATGGAAGTCAAACAACAGTGAATATTTGGCAGATGCATGGTCTCCATTTTGGAGTAATAATTGTTTTATTTTGAAGCTGTTGATTGTCTTTACAATTACCTATATAACCTTAACAATTCAAAGTATTTTCAAAGCGGCACCTCATCCGGGTGATTTCCAAGTCACAAATACAATCTGACGTACAAAACTCTGATATGTTAATTTCATGACCAGCTATCAGCGCAAATGTCTCATCATCCCACTGTGTGATCAGAAACAACTTGACAGCATGCGGGTTTAGATGGCAAAATCACGTAACAACAAGGTGTGAACAATGAACACAGGAAACGATCTCATACAGACAGGTGTTGAGTACACATCACTGTTCCAATGCATGATCAGCAAACACTTTTAAAAATGGAAAACAATGTCAGCATACACATTAAGCAGCCAAGAAGAAGAGGTAGATCAATATTGATTGATGAGCTGAGGCTATTCTTTACTTCAACAGTATGATAATCCGTATTGGGTACACTCAATTGTGCTCTCAGTATAATGTACACTATACAAAGTAAATTATAGATGTCAGCAGCTGATGTCTGAAAACACTCCTGAATCGATAATCCATCCTTGCATATAACTACATATACGATCAAGCGGAAACGTTACATGTACAGTATCAGCGTCAGTGACTTCATGCTAGTGAATTCCATCTCCATGAACATCAGTAACTGTCTATAAATAAAAGGAGTTATCAGACATTTTACTTAACTACAGCTGCTAGAACTAACAGATCCACAATATGAGAGAGATCGCAATGATAGCTTTCAGATGATATCATGATGCAATGAACGAAATTAACAACAAAGACTTGCCAATATATTTTCACTCAACTGAAATAAATTCATGGAAATCGAGATCCCGCCTACAATACAATTTGTGACATGTAACCCTAACGTGATATATAATACCAGCAATGTTGACATCACTGACGTGATTATTGAAGCGTATTAAAATTCATATCACACACTCAAGATTGTTTCTAATTTCTCTATTAAATCTGCTTTTAAATATCAGTTCTGTTTTGTTTCATTTTATTGCCAGACATTCACAAAAATTAGTTTTATAAAAGTCATTGTGGCCTTAAACATGACAATGATTAAATCAGTCAAGTACGTTTGATCATGATGACCGTACCCCACATTTTAATTTGAGTTAATAAATGATTTTAAATTGTTCAAGATTTTCTACAGACACTTTGTACTCTCTCTAGTTTGCTTTGCTGTTGACAATGGTCAGCAGGTTATGAAAAAACATATCTTACCTGTATTATGTCGTTACAGTGTTCGACATTCATGTACAATGTGAAGTAGAAGTAGTGGCCGTTACAGATAAAGTACTTATCTTGTCAATTCTAAGCATCAAGCAATTGAGGAAACCTTGCCATACAACACTTTATATTTTGCAGCACAGTGTGTCTACGGGTAAAAAAAAAAATAATTGAATGAAATTAAATTAAATTGTGAAGAGGCAAATCATATTTTCAGATCATCGGCTATTGCACAAGCATGTATGAGTTGGATCATCGAAGAAAATGACATGCACAGTGAAAATAAATTAATTATTCACAGCACATTGATTGCATTGGTGTAGAATGATCATCACAAGTACTGGTGGACTCTGAGGAACTTAACTGTAATTTAATGATGGCAATATTCCATCACACCTGCTCAGATGGTGCCTGAACCATCCAATGTAGTGACAATCAATTATGTAGCTACTGCTCCCATTTGTTATTCCAGCAAAATAAATAAATAGCCATACACAGAGTTGACTGACAGCTGGTAGTTTCTACATATCACTCCAGCACAATATGCTCCATTAGCTTCTGAAAGGCATTAGCAGAATCAAATCTCTCACTAGAGTTCACAGGTCACCACTATAACCACTCCAAGGAATTTTGAGCATGGGTTTAATAGCTCCCCCAGCGAGTCTGCAGATGTGCCTGAACGGGATTTACAGGGACCAAGATATACACATGATGCATATTTTACATTCATAAAAAATATCATCCATGTATAACAAAAGGCAAAATTTAAAAAAAAAAAAAAAAAAAAAAAAAAGATTCACAAAAAAAGATTTGAAAAACAAACTAATAATCCGAAATATAAAATTCACATTAAATTGAAATTTTACATAATATATAATAGGAATATACAAAACTCCAATAAAGCTCTATAAATGCTCTCTGAGTGCAACTTTAAATTCATCCACTGACAACGCAACATTCAAACTTATATTGCATTGTGGTATTTAGGAATAATTAATTTTTAAACCGCCATAATTTGAAACATGCACCTACAATATTTCAAGAATAGAATCTCTGTAGTGTGCCTTCACTTATCATAATATAGAACTGCACTGACAGATACAAATGTAGGTATTTGTGTATCAAATAAATAACTAATAATAACACAGGAGAGCTCACAATTATATGAAATATATTTAACCAGGCTGAGATTTTAAAGCTGCCTATTAAAACCAACAATCTTTTCATCCAAAGATCCCTACTTTCTTATATAATAATTATTACATCTATAGACATTGAACTGAATCAGACTCTTGTTGATGGCCACTTTAGAGGGTTTACCTTGGTTTTAACGAAAATATTATAATAAATTAAGAAATCTTTGGGGGAAGGGGACCAGTGTAAAAGAATGACAATTTCACATCAATCGCAACATTTTTTTTTGATAACCTTAAAACCAGAAAAAAAAAATCATTTCGCTATAACTGCATCCAACATTTATACATGTATTCAGCTAATTAAATTTTGTTAGTGCTAAAAATGATGTGATAGAATCAATATTAAGATAAATTCAATAATTTCAGTTGTATTATTATTACCCATACCATACTCAAGCTACATGCAAGTTGATTGGAACACTGGAGAATAGTATCTAGGATGGAATCTAACATGTTTGAATTTCAAATATGTATGTGTTCTTTTCCAGAATTAGATCTCGGATTCATTTGTTTTCTCCTGGGTGCATCATGATGCATGATATATGCTCAGAACGTACATACTGACCTGGTAACACCCTGACATGGATACATGCAAATGGAAAATAAAGTAACATATGCAAATATGCTCATTAACATGCACAGTTTCAAAGAATATGATGTAACAGCATTTACGTCTTCAAAATTATATTTACACATGTAGGAGCAGAATGCTAAACCATTCAAACACATTAAAACATTATCACCTGCTGAAAGCCTGTACGGATAGCCACAATCAATGGAAAATACTGCAGCAAAGGCATTATGACAACAGTTACATTTAACTATAAACACTTTTACATTAGCTGACTGTGTATTCAGAGAACCATCATAGTCTCATGCATCATCTGCTTCACTAATATTCTCTTCTTTTCCTAATTATATAATCATGTTATTAGTTTTATCTATCACATATGACAGGTAATTAATGAGTCTTATGATTTATTAAATTCACTTTCAAATTGACATTTCCCCGGTGTGTCAGGAGCTATTCACACTCATTTATTCAACCATAAAATGTCTTTATTCAGCAGTATACATGTACTTGCATTAAAGTACATCTAGTAGTTTGAACATTTGTAACAGTACCATTGCAAATACACTCAAAACACTTTTTGTACTAGATACCTTGCTATGATATGATTATTAGCTAATTTGTGTATATTATCTATAAAAGTGTGAATGCAAATTGCCTACACACAGTACAAATACCAGATTTCCTGTGAAAGTACCATAAAGTAATAACTGATTTAAGGCAGATTACCTAAATACTTCACAGGCTGGTGGGAGGTCTTACTTCCAATACAACAGATAAACATCATTACTAAATTTTAATACTTTTACACAATGTATATATTTGACGTATGTAGCATATCTTTTGAAAATCAAAACAGCAGCTGCCAGCAGAATTAACAATTGAAATGCTTAAATGTGAACAAATGAGTTAATATAATGTACAGACAATTAATGCCTTCTCTGTCTATAACTTTTTTATTATTTTATTTATTAAAATGTGCCAGATGGCAGTTGGTTGACTGTCACAGTACTTAATTTTTCGTCATGTGCCAATTACATGTGTTAGTGCTAACCATGCATGAATCACATTTTGCCACAGAAACTGTATTCAATGTTTATTACATGTACCACATGTATATAGCAGGGCTGTGTGACTGTTTGTTATGTTTTGAACATAATAAACATTACATTGCCACTGCTATTTATATTTGATAACTGTGTAATGGCTGTCAACTTTTTTTATATTTAAGGCAAATGAAAAATGATATTGTGGTATGTACATGTATTTTTTAGGTTAAAAAAATATAGTAGAAATATTCCAAAGAAGCATGAAATAAAATGTTGTTATTTAAACATTTAAATCAAAATAGAATTGTAATTCACAATATTATTACATGCATACCATACGTATCTTTACAGTATGACATAATACAGGACATCAAAAATGCATATCACATACGTTAGCTTTTTTTTCATTGTATGTGCTGCGTTTTGGGTTTATATAGGGTCTGATGACGGTAGCAAAAGTGGTACATTTTGGCAAGCTCATGTATGTATTTTCGAAATTATCATTTGGTCTCTCCAAATAATCAGTTGAAATTTTAAAAAAAATACTTGCAAATTTGAGCACATATCAGGAACGGGTGAAATCACCACACAGCAGCATATGCACATGAAATGAAACACCAAGGCATCACAATTAGCATACGAGGTACGCACAATGTATTCACTGTTGTATAAGCAATAGTTCAACACTCCAATGTTTCACTATTTCAGACTGGTAAAATACGCATGCAAAAAAATATATAATCCCACAATATTTTCTCTTGACATATGCAGACACCTGCGGCTCAGATTCATACAAAACTCTGGCGGTAATCACTAGTAAATACAACATCTCTACACGTATACTGTAAAATCTGTATTACAAGCTGCGGCTTCTATTAAAATGGTAGAATGCAACAGAGGAGATGCAAGCTTCTATTAGAGCA